TATATAATAATATGTATAATATACAAATGTATATAATATTATAATAATATATAAATGTATATAATAATATGTATAATATCAAAAGTGTGTATATAAATTAATATTATATTTTAATATCAAATTAAATAGAGATTAGTATATTAATTTTTAAGTGAAATAATGATAAGACATTGTAAAAAATTTTGTAAGTTGTGCAATAAAAACCTGATTATATATGTATATATAGTATATTAATTTTATATAATTAGAGTATAGATTTAATATTAATTTTAAAATTAAATTTAAGAATTGACATAAATCATTTTATGCATTATCTACGATAAAATATAATATCTACATTTTGTTAGAGAATTAAATATATTGATATATTAATATGTTCTTACATACAATAAAAACCTTAGACAAAAATTTGCGAGCCCTTAAACACATACACACACACACATACATACACATACATATATAAATATTCACACGCAAACTCGTAGAAGAGCTCGTTAGTTAACTTAACTCGTTTCGCGGTTAACGATGATGATACGAGGATTAAGAAGAGCACGTTCACACACAACCACCAACACAAGCTCAACTTTTTTTTATTTTCCTCTTCTCCTTTTCCAACGAAACTCGACGCACGTTACCTCTCTTCAATTAATAAATTACGACGTTTGCGTAGCCATTTATTTTCTTTACGTGTGTTGGTAAAGTAACACGCAGTGTTACGTTGTATATACGTTTACATATATATATATATGTATATGTATATATTCAAACAGTAAGTAGAGACAAGAGAGAGAGAGAGAGAGAGAGAGAGAGAGAGAGAGAGAGAGAAAGAGAGAGCTTTAAACATTTTCCTCAAGATTCTTTGTACCCTCTAGCAATTAACGTTTTGAAAATTACGACGAGAGTTGCTTCTTCTTCTTATTCTTCTTCTTTATCTTCTTTTTCGTTTTCTTTTCAAAACCATTCCCTTCTTCTCTCCCCCTTCCCTTCCCTTCCCTTCCCACCTCCTCCTCCTACTTTTCATTCCTACGTTTCTCATCTTTTTCATCTTCCTTTTCTTCCTTTATTTCCTTATTTTATTCCCTTCCTTTCATTCTCGTGATATTACAGTTCTAGATATTATGCACGTGGTGGATATATTATACTAAATGCATGTAAATAAAAAAACATTTTATACTTTCAAGTATGGGACATGATTTAATTAAAGTTGTCACTATCAAACCAAATCAAATCAAATCAAATCAAATGAAATTAAATCAAATTAAACCGAAGCAAAGCAAAGCAAAGCAAAGTAAAGTAAAGTAAAGTAAAGCAAAGTAAAAGCAAACCACTGCAAATTCTATTTGAAAAATGTCAAACATTATCTTTTCTCGTTTTAAAATATACCGAAAACGTGCGAATAAAATAATTCATAATTTATTCGATCAATTATATTCTACTCTCGAATTCTTTTAACGCAAACTGAAAGATTACATCCTGTAATTCTCTCACGATGAGTTTTTCTTTTATCTCTTTTATCCACTTTAAAGAGAATATTCGATGTGAAGAAAGAAAGAAGAAGAAGAATAAGAAGAAGAGAATGGGGAGGAGGTTGGAGGAGAGGGGGGAGGGGGTTAGGAAGAAAATAAATTGAAATTTGAATAAGCCGTGTTTTACCATAGAATAATCTCGAAATACGTGTCAACGTCAAAAATGTCCTCGTTACGTGTATGTGTTATCGAAATAACACCATGACACCATGTACTCATATATATATATAAAAAAAAAATAAAGAAAGGTAAAATTTAAGTGGGGGACAAAAGAAAAAGAAAAAGAAGATAAAGGAGAGGAGGAAGAATAAAAAAAATAAAAAAAAGGAGTAAAGGAAGTTGCCGCCCCCCTATGTTTTGACCCTCCTTTATTCAAATACAATTATCGATCGGTGAATATAGAAAAGAAACAGGATGATTTTGATTACCTTTTTATGGTTACAGGCCCGCATGGAATAACAAGTTGTTGTTTTTTTTATCGTCACGGTTGTTGCTTCCTTTTCTTTTTTTTTTTTTTAGCCCTCTCGTATTTTCATCTGAAAAGAAGAGAAAGAGAGTGTGAGATACAGAGAAAGAAAAACAAAAATTATACGATTAATATAAGCTTTCACGTGATTACAATTTTTACGGATTTTAACTCCCCATAACGCCGTGTAATTTTAAAAAATTATATACTTATGCAGATAAGTAGATATATATAAATGTATTTGTTATATTTAATAAATTAAAAATTACAAAATACATACATTTAATTATATTAACAAAAATATATATATATACATACATACATACATATATATTTTTAAATACATCAATTAAATTT